CCCCTTCTCCACATACACACATGTTCTACTGTCAGGTTGTTTCATTTGTTCCGCATCCGGCTTTTTGAGGAATTGCCATGCCTTGTGTCTTTGTCTGTGTCATACCTGTGTTCCGTGTATGTGCTACTGGGGTTAAAACAAACAAGTTGAAGAAATAGCATCAATATTCTACAAAGCCATGTTGTGTTAAGGAAACTATAGTAGCAAATGAATAGGTTTGTGCAGGCCAGTTAAGAGATAAGTGCGACAAACCATTTACATGTTTACTTGCACAGTTCATATTTACTTGAACCTAATCTATGCATGGCCTGCTTAAATTTAGGGAGGATTTCTATCATGTTTGGTATCCTCCCCTTCCCCATCAGGTTGTTACTGCCAATATCCAGGAGGTCACTTCTTGATAAATCCAGTTGTCTTTCAATTAAACAGAAAATTACCACATAAAATTCTTAGCATAATCTGTTATGTGCTCTTCTAGGGTTAATTATATGGATTCCATCTATATAATCATATTCCTAGCTAATTTTCCCCCTTAAACCAGTAATTAATGGTTAGTTAACTTTCTAGTATACCCAATATCAAGGAAAACTTAGCATATTTTTTGTCTTTTGCTTTCACATCATCCTTTTTCATCATTTTATGTTTTATCATGTTTTTAATTACTTTGGTTTTGCTGTTCTTTGATTTTATTTATTTTTTAGTTGCTGCTGAGTTTGTTGTTGGGGGGGTTAGTCACCTAGAACTTTTTAAGTAGAACTGGGATAATTGGTAAAGTGGGATAATTTTTTAACACTGGGATAATTTAGTGGAACAATGATGAGTAATTCTTAAAGTGGGATAATTTGATAGGATAATTTGGTGGGATAATGATGGATAATATTATGAAGTTGCATAATTTGGTAGGATAATTTGGTGGGGGTAATGGTGGGTATAAATTACTATTGTAAATAATTGTATATTAAAAATAATATAATATTGATAAGCAAATTCTAGTAATAACTATAAAATATAATGCAATAAAGCATTATATTCATCTCAAATAATAAAATAAATTACAAATAAATAAAAATCTAAATCCCTAGAGTGACTCGACTTCCATCATCCCACATGGCTTCTATCATCCCACATGACTTCTATCATCCCACATGACATCTGCTATAGAATTTCTCCAAGCTCCTACAGCTGCTCGTTGAGTCTGTAACTCGTCTTCTTTATCGGAGTCATCGTCTGCATCAGCAACATTTCGTGGAGCTTCTAATAGAGGATCATAAATGTCGAAGTTCAAATCTCATAACATCATAAAGAAAGAAAAATAAGCATTTTTTAGCCAGTAACCCATTGGACCAATCTCATCATGATCGCTGAAACCAAATCAGCAAATAAATGAAATGTACACAGGAATCATCCATGGCCACTAAACAGATGATCGACAGATGAACTATAAATATCCCACTCAATTTATTGAGCCGATTTAATAATAATAGATATCACCATTAACCATTCAACATCTAATCATCAATGTGATCGCAAAGTTGCTTTCTAACTTATAAAAAAACATAAATAGCCCGCATATCTTTAACACTAACCCACCAACACTATATTCTTAACCTAAACCACTGTTGTGGAGAGAAAACTTAGATCAAACAAATAATAATAAAGTAATTTAACGTCAAAAAGCTATCAATAAAGTAATACATCTTGAAGATAATAATACAATATCTAATCACAACAAAAACAAAGTAAAGACAGAAAAATGAACGGATGATTGACTTCATAGCAGAGAAATTTTCTAGACGGAGAAACTAACCAAGAGGGAGGGAGGCGACATTTCACTTTTTTCCCAATTGTATTCTTTCCAATGTGTGGGATAATTTGAGAGAGGAGAACTTATGGTTATATATATAGGTAGTATAATTTGTGGGATAATTATGACCAATTATCTCAATTCTAATTCTAGTAGAATTCTACTTGACTAACACACCAAAAAAATAATACAGTTCTAGTTCTACAAAAGTTCTACTTGACTAACACTATAAAAAATATCTCATTTCCTAGTTCTATGTGACTAACACCTTAAAAATTTATCCCACAAATTATCCTAGTTCCAGTTTTAAGTTCTAGATGACTAACCCCCCCTTAGGGATCAAATGAGGTTGAATTCATTGAGATGTTTGTCCATGTGCAACAATGGTCGCTAAATGCAAGTGTGCAACAATTAAGGAAAGTGTTAACTAATGGAGAAAGAGGACAAGAGATAGGTATGCTAGAACTTATTTGAAGCAATTAAGAAGGATATGTGATGCGGAACACCTTGAAGATCAGATTAGTTAGTTGTTTTTGGAATTGACATTTTTCAGTTGAGGTGTTAGGATATTTACTTCGGAATTGTTATTTGGTTTTATCTGTTAATTAGGATATTTAGTTATGATTTTTGTTATCTTTTAGTTAGGAATTTGTTTGATCTAATTAGGATTTTATTCTATAAATGACCATGTACTTCTTCATTTGAAGGGGAGATAAAATTTGAGAATAAAGATTATGAAAGTTTAGCATGTGTTGCTTGGTAGGCATGTCTGCCAAGGTGTGAAGCCAACATTTGTGAAGCCGAATCCAGTTAGGTGTTGCATGGGAAACTAGCTTAACTAAAAAAATATTTTTCTTCTTTTTTTGTTTTATTGTAATTCTTCAGATTCCAATTTCAGATTCAGAAAATGATTAGATCCAACCCAATCAGATTTAAATCAAAGCTTAATCGCTTCCGTTCCACCTCAATATGATACTAATTAACTTAGTGGAAGAGATAACACCTAAAATAACTGAAGAGAAGAATATGATTCATGTAATTCACACACAAAAAAAGAGAATATTGAAGGGTAACGGTGGTTGTACAGAGCAGGTGTGTTCTTTTGTTACTTGATGACATTAATTTTAAAAAAGCATGATTTATTCCGTTATTTCTACGAGTCTATGAGGTACCTGATGTAGCGTGCTCAATGTAGATGTCTTAAATTGCAGTAGTGAAATGTTTACCTTGTGTATGGAATCACATTCTTAACTTCATTTGTGAAAAGTGAACTTGAAGAACCAGAACATGACTTTATTCAGAATATGGTAAGCCATTTATTGTTCTTAATAAAACATTTTCTGTTCCTAAAAGGGTGCTCTTTTGAGTGAGAATTAGCTAGCATGTGGGTGTTAAATTTGTTTTGGTATAAAATTGACTTCTTTTCACCCTTTTGAAAGTTTGAACATAGCCTGAATGTGGTGCCTGACTGATCCCTTTTTTCCCTTCATTGCAGGTTGGTAAAGAAGAATTTTGAAAGACAGATGACTGCAAAAGTTGATTCATCCTCTCCTGTTGAACTAACCCATGGGCAGTCTACTGGTGCACCTGCAGTTTCAACTAGTAATCCTAAGATCTCAAAATTTGGGGCAAAAGCTGGATTTGTTATACCAAAAAACAAATTGTCTGGTTCATTAGTTCCCATTTTTCGAGGTGGTAGTAAAGCGGATGCTGGCACTGATGTTAAAGAAGAGAGTAGTAAACAGGTTCAAAGAAAAACAAAATGGGGTGCTGACCTTACTCAAGATGCTGCTGTGAGGAAAGGAAGAGCCTTAGCCTATCAGGTTTTCAAATAGACCTTTCTTTTGTTTCCTTTATCAAGAATGACTTTAGTAGATGCGGCTTTAACATGCCATCTAATAATATACTTTAGGGTGTGACATTGTTGTGATGGAGCAGATGCTCTGATATCCAAATCTGAGCATGATAATATTATCTGTTGCCCATATCCTCTCCAGTTTGCATCGGATATATGAAAAATTGTATCTTTTATCTGTGTCCAGTGGATATTATCCAAATAATGTGCTAGAATATCTGGATAATACTTATAATTTATGAAATTAATGATTCTGTATAAACTCGTCAGTATGAATAGTTAAAGAACCAAAAATTCAGAAAGTGCACTTATGAACCTACAAATAAGAATCAGTTACATATTATCTATACGTTATTGTAGTCTGTTTGTTAATAGGTCATGATATATAAATATTTTATCTTTATTAATTATAAGTGAAGCAGATACTGAATTAGTATCACCTACTTTCGAGCATGTTTGGCAAATGGTCAAAGTGGCTTATAGGCCAATTTTTTTAGCTTATAATAAGACACTGTGACATGTTGGGAAAATGGATTATTTTGGCTTATAAGCCACCAAAAAATAAGCTATGATACCCTAGCTTAGTAGCTTATAAGCTATAAGGTTTGATCAAGTAAAAGACTAACATACCCCTAATCATTCCACAAAGTTCCAGGCCCCATTATGTTTTTTTAACCCCATTGAATACCTTTTGGTTATTTTGACCACAAAGATGGTTTATAACCCATCCATTTGCCAAATGCTCTACTATTGAGTATAGGTTATAATCCACTAAGTTCATCGTACACTTTGGCTTGTAATCCACTTGGCTTATAAACCATTTGTGGATTATAGGCTGAGTGGATTATAATTCAAAGTTGCGAGACATGCCTTTCTTCATTGTACCCTCTTCAAATTGTGATCTAGTTCAATCATACTGGTTCATGGTGCATACTAACTTGATTAGTAATCTGAGAAGAAATAAAAGAAGAGAACTAATGATTAATTGTTTCAAATCATTCAATTGGCTCTTTTTATGCATCCTATCCTACTTGTTGCCCTTTCGTAATAGACTTTTATATGATTTTACATTATGGCTTACAGTCTGAAATTTGGAGTTTTGAACTTTGATTGTATAACATTTCACATTGTGGGCATTTCCTAAATTAATAGCTTTTCTAGTTTTGAGAACGCGTTATCATTGTTCTTATTTTACATGTCTTCAAATTTGTTTTTTTATTGTTTCTCCACATGCATGCAGATAATACATGCCTAATTATCGAAATGATGTTAACTTCTTCTAACTATACAATGATCCTAAATAGCGCCTTGAATAAGCCTATCCGCTTCGCACACATACTATCCAGAGTAATTGATGCATACGACAAATCGAGATATAGCACAACTCTGGTAATCCTGTATTAAGTGGAGAAGATCCTTCTTCTAGTAGCTCCTTTTATAAGTGAAACGGATAGGAGTATATACTGATTGTTACTGTTAATTCGCTTGAACAAATGCAGATGTAGAGCAGCTTCGGATGTCCTTTTACACTCGTAATTATGAACTATAATTTGGTTGAATAGTGTCATCTAATTCACACCATTCCTCTCGAACTGTGATGCAGTTCAAGCATGCCAACTTGTAGTGTATTCCGAACTGGGATCACCTGAATTGGTTCGATAAGCTCTTTTTTCCTTATCTTACTCAGTCAATTTGCAGCTTCAAGAGTTATACTACGGCTTTAAATTTTGGATTTAGCTTTGATTGTTTAATGTAATTCAAATTATGATCATGTTTGTTCTAGTTAGTTAGTTGTCTTTCTATTGTTGAAAAAAATGAAAGTTTCTATTATCATAATTCTTAGTTTTTAGATTTCTTCAAATGTACATTTACATCTCTTCTTTGTCCACATGCTCATAACAATACAGGTATACTTATCAAAATTTCCTAGCTTCTTGTTTGTGTAGTATAATCCTAGATATCAATCTGATTAAGCCTACCTTCTTTTTACCACATTGAATTAAAATTGTTTACCGGGACATGTAGCACATAGGTAACATGGATTATGGGTGCAGGCACAGAAACGGTTATGGACACGGCACACAACAAATTTTAAAAGTGTAGGATACAGGGACCCGGCATGTGTGTATGTGTATATATGAGAATAATTGGTATGTTTGGTACCAAGCACAAAATTGATGCTTGGTAGTTAGTTGCCCACTTCTCATCCACTTATTTAAAGTGGGAGACCACATTCACGTGGGTGCACATGAGTTGGATAATTGAACCATTGGGTGAGAAGTGACCACCTCACTACCAAGCACCAAAGTTGTGCCTTGTACCAGTCCATACGGTCATAGCCATTATATATATATATATATATATAATAATATATATATATATATATATATATAATATATATATAGAGAGAGAGAGAGAGAGAGAGAGAGAGAGAGAGAAGAGAGAAGAGAGAGAGAGATGAGTATGCTTGGTACCAAGCACAAATTTGGTGCTTGGTAGTGAGGTGTCATATTCCCATCCACTTATTTCAATTCCTAACCACTCTCCAACCCATGTGAATGTGGGCCCTCGATTTCAATGAGTGGAGGGAATATGTCATCTCACTACCAAGCACAAAAATTTATGCCTTGGTATCAAGCATACTCATTTTCTCATATATATATATATATATTATATATATAATATATAATATATATATAATATATATATATATATATATATATATATATATATATATATATATATATATAGGGAGAGGTTCAAATACAAACCTCACTATCCTAAAAACTAAAAACCTCTCCTCTCTATTGGATCTAGATTCATCCAATGGCCGAGATTAAAGCTGCATAAGGGTAATCAGGTAAAATAAACATCCCACTAAAAAGAGGTAATTAATGCCTCTCTGTTGAGTTCTCCATTTCCCCATGCATTCTCACGGCTCAGGCAACCCAACAGTCACGAAGAGCAGCTCTCTCTCAATCTAGAAATCGTCCATCAGCTCTCGTTCATCGTTCATCGTTCTTCAGCTCTCGTTCATCGGGAAATCTTCCAGCAGCTCTCGTTCAGCGTTCTTCAGCTATGTCGTTCATCGTCCAGCAGCTATCGTTCGTCGTCTAGCATCTCTCGTTCAACGTTTTTCAGCTCTCTCTATCATCATCCAGCAGCTGACTTTTAAACATTTTATAGAGATTTAACTTGAATTCAGGTGTGCAGGGTCTAGTTGTTTTGATTGTAATGAATCTAGATTCAGTATTTAAATACTTAGTCATATTATTTATTATATAGGAGCTTACACGCTTAACATTTTATGGATATTTAAATGGAGAGTTTGAATTCAGTTGAACACGTTATAGTTGTTAATCTAGATTAACTGCATTGAATCGAGATTCATTGTTAGAGATTGCAGTGTTTTTCATAATTTATTCACTTAGAGATTTAACTTGAATTCAGGTGTGCAGGGTCTAGTTGTTTTGATTGTAATGAATCTAGATTCAGTATTTAAATACTTAGTCATATTATTTATTATATAGGAGCTTACACGCTTAACATTTTATGGATATTTAAATGGAGAGTTTGAATTCAGTTGAACACGTTATAGTTGTTAATCTAGATTAACTGCATTGAATCGAGATTCATTGTTAGAGATTGCAGTGTTTTTCATAATTTATTCACTTGTTCACTGCAGTGAATCTGGATTCAATGCAGTGAATCGAGATTCACTCCAGATTAATTTGCAATGAATTCACTAATTATATGGTTTAATTTCACTGTTAATATACATAAACCATATATGGTTTAATTAGTGAATCGAGATTCACTGCATTGAATATAACCATATATACTCAAATTAGTGAATCGAGATTCACTGTTAATATACATAAACCATATATGGTTTAATTAGTGAATCGAGATTCACTGCATTGAATTTAACCATATAAACCATATGTACTCAAATTAGTGAATCGAGATTCACTCCAGTGAATCCAGATTCATTGCGATGAATCCAGATTCAGTATATAAGAACATAGCCATATTATTTATGTTCTTTTATTTTCAGTTGTAGGCAGCAATGAACAAATTAAGGAACCACATGTTATAAATGCATCGGACAGTGATTTTTTGGAAGATGGAATGGACGAAGTTAGCTCGATTCCTTTTGAATCACCAGGTGGTGGTATGTATTGGAAACCTCGGGTTGAAGCCGAATTTAAACCTTATCTAAACCAAAGCTTCCGATCACTAGAGGATGGTATAGAGTTTTACCGAGAGTATGGACGTAAAAGTGGGTTTGAGATCAGACGGCATACAGAGAAGAAACATGAGGACGGTACAGTTCTTCTTAAACACATTGTTTGCAGTAGAGCTGGCAGCAATGAATCAAAGATGGATGTTGATTTTGATGATTTTAGTAGCAGTTCGAAAAAGAGAAGGAGAACTGTATCTAGTAGATGTGGTTGCAAAGCTAAAGTCGTGTTTAAGTTTGATGGTTTGAAAGGATATAATGTTCTCTCATTCGTTGAAGAGCATTCTCATTTTTTGGTGTCCGGTAGTGGGAAACAATTTTTGAAGTCAAATAGAGTTCTCGGACTCGCACATAAGAAACTTGTATTTGATGGAGCAAAAGCCAACATGGGGCCTAACAAAACATATAACTTTGCTAAGGAGTTGTGTGGAAGTTATTCTAATGTTGGTGCTACCTGTACCGAGTTTAAAAATTGGAGTAGGGATGTGAAGCTTTATATTGGTGATCGAGATGCTCAAATGATCATCGAGAAGTTCACGGATAAGAAGGAGATGAGTGATGGATTTTTCTATGATTATGCAGTTGATGAAGGCGGTCGATTAACTCGCATCTTTTGGGCAGATGTTATTGGGCGAAGAAATTACGATGTATTTGGAGATGTGATATCATTTGACTCTACATATTCCACAAACAAGTAAGATTTTATAGTTAATCTCTTACGATTT